GCTGATCCCACTACGGGACCAGTCACTGCACGTCACACTACCACTTTACCGTGTCCTGCTGCTCCCTCCGGGTCTCTCACTGGGTTTCACGTCCCCTCGTTCTCCCGGAACTTGGTGGGCGTGCGACCCCTCGTGAGTCAGCACGTGGGTGTGTGGTTTGAGCCTTCTGGAGAGACTGCGGTGTGTGTTGCGGGCTCGGGTCTCTACACTCTTCACACTGGCCCGCGTGCGCCGCAGCAGCAGCCGCAGCAGCAGCAGCAGCCGCAGCAGCAGCAGCAGCAGCAGCAACAGCAGCAGCAGCAGCAGCACCAGCGGCCGCACCAGCAGCCCCCCCTACTGCCACTGCCCCCGGTTCCCCCCCCCGTTCGGGTCCCCGCGTCTCACCAGGTTGCTACGTCCCCCCAGGTGTCTGTGTCGTGTCAGGTTCCTACGTCTGTTCCAGTCGCTGCGTCGTGCTCCTGCCGGTCGCTTGCCCACCCCACCGTTCTGTGGCACCACCGGATGGGGCACCCGTCCCTTCCACGTCTGCGCGCTATGTCTAGTCAGCGTCTTGTCCTAGGCCTCCCACGTGTCTTGCCGTCGCTGCCGCCTTCGCCTGCGCCGCCGTGTCGTCCCTGCGTCGAGGGTAGGCTGCGCGCCACCCCTCACTCCTCCTCCCTTCGTCCGGCCACCGAGCCTTTTGAGACGCTTCACTTGGACGTCTGGGGCCCAGCCCCTCGTCTAGGCCCTGAGCGTGAGCGTTACTTTCTGGTGGTAGTTGACGACTTCTCCCGCTACACCACAGTGTTCCCTCTGGCGAAGAAGTCTGAGGTGACTTCTACGCTGATCAGGTGGTTGCTCACCACTGAGGACACTCGCGGTCGTCGTGTCAGCTGTCTCCACTCCGACCGTGGGGGTGAGTTTCGCTCCGGCATTCTCGCTGGATTCTGTCGCGAGCAGGGCATTCGTCAGTCCTGGACGCTTCCAGAGTCCCCACAGCAGAATGGGGTTGCTGAGCGCCGCATAGGCCTGGTCATGGAGATCGCCCGCACCTCCCTGACTCACGCGTGTGCCCCCCATTTTCTGTGGCCCTACGCGGTCAGGTACGCCGCGCACCAGCTGAACCTCTGGCCACGTGTCTCTCGACCAGAGGTTTCACCGACCAGCCTTTGGACAGGGTCCCCTGGTGTTGCGTCGCGGTTTCGTGTCTGGGGGTGCTTGGCTCTTGTCCGCGACACCTCCGCGGACAAGCTCTCGCCTCGTGCCGTCCCCTGTGTCTTCCTTGGTTTCCCTGAGGACTCCTCTGACTTCACCTTTTACCACCCTCCCTCTCACCGGTTCTTTGACTCCTGTGACGTCCGTTTCGAGGAGTCCACTCCGTACTACGTCAGGTACCCCAGTCGAGGTCTCCCGGTTCCTCCTCCCCCCCTCTTCCTGACTGCCGTTCCCCCTCCTGCTCCCCCGGTACAGCCTCCCCCCCCTGGTCCAGCCCCGTCAGGTGTGTCCCAGGCTACCCCTCCTCCTTCGGTAGCCCCTCCGGTACAGCCTCCCTCCCCACAGTCCTCCTCGCAGCGTGCCGCTGGTGCTAGCTCTCGAGAGGTTGGTGCGGCGCCTGTTCCTGTACCGGTTTCTGGTTCTGGGGGTGCTGGAGTTGGAGCTGGAGTTGGAGCTGGAGTTGGCACTGGAGTTTCTGGTTCTGGGAGTGCTGGAGTTGGAGCTGGGGTTGGAGCTGGAGTTTCTGGTTCTGGAGTTGGAGCTGACCCGGTGGGTGCAGAGGACTCTTGTCGTCCGGGAGCTAGTGCTGGCCGCGCGGACACTGGGGGTGCTGCGTCTGGGGGTGAGGGTGCGCCTCCTTCGGGTTCAGGTGAGCCTGGTTCTGGAGCTGGTGTTAGTGCTGCCTCTGGGGGTGGTGCGCCTAGTTCTTCTGAGGTGGACTCTGGAGCTGCCGCTGCTTCGGACACTACTCCACCCCCCCACCCCTACCCGACTAGGCACCAGGCTCGTGTTCGCCGTGCCCGTGACGAGCAGCTGGCGTTGGAGAGAGAGGAGAGGGAGTTACAACGGCTGGAGGAGCAGCAGCAGCAGCTAGAGCCGCAAGAGCAGCAGCAGCAGCAGCAGCAGCTGGACCCGCAGGAGCAGCAGTCCCAGCAGCAGCCGCGTCCGCAGCAGCAGCAGTCGCAGCGGCAGCAGCAGCAGCCACTTCCTCCTCCTGTCTCGGGTCTTCGGATCCTTGGTCTCCCCTCCCCTTCTCCTCCCTCCTCCGCCTCTCCTCCTGTCTACGGTCCCACGTTTCCTCCTCCTGACTCCTCCCCCGCTGTTTTCCCCAGTTCTCCGCCTTTGTCCTCTCCTCCTTTGTCTCGTTCTTGGGCTACTCGTCGCTCCCCTCGTGCTCGTCCCTCGTCTCCTGTTCCCTTCACTGACCTTCGTACTGCCTTCCTTCTTTCTAGTCCACCTCGTCCGTCTCAGTCTGTGCTTCCGTCTCCTCCTGAGTCGGCCCTCACTGTGTCGCTCCCTACTCCTGTCACTGACTACTACCGCACGTACCGTCCTGTTCTCTCTCGTGTTCTCGCCTCTCTTGTTACTCACCCTCGTGCCTCTGTGTCCTCTGTGTCCGCTCTTACTGCCGCAGTTACTGACTTTGCCTCTACCCGCCGCCTTGACTACGCCACCACGCTTGTGGCTGCTCCTCCTACCAGTCCTCTGGCCGTCGGGGGTATGTCTGCCCTTGGCTGTGACGCCCTAGAGGACAGGCAGTTTGAGCTAGAGTTCCTGGCGGCCGCTTCCCCTCATCTCTGTGCCATGCTCCTCGCCCCTGAGGGTGACCCCGACGCCCTTGACATTCCGACTCCTCGCACTTACGCTGAGGCAGTGTCAGGGCCTTGGGCCTCTCAGTGGAGAGCTGCCATGGACGCAGAGATGGCCTCCTACAGATCCACAGGCACCTACGTCGATGAGGTTCCCCCCCCTGGGGCGAACGTAGTCGACGGCATGTGGATCTACAGGGTGAAGCGGCCACCGGGATCTCCCCCGGTCTTCAAGGCGCGCTACGTGGCTAGAGGTTTCAGTCAGCGCGAGGGAGTTGACTTCTTTCAGACCTTCGCACCTACCCCGAAGATGACCACTCTTCGGGTGTTACTACACGTAGCAGCACAGAGAGACTACGAGTTACACTCTCTCGACTTCTCCACTGCTTTCCTTTAGGGCAGCCTACACGAGGAGGTCTGGTTGCGTCGTCCCTCGGCCTTCACTGGCACCTTCCCTCCTGGGACCCAGTGGAGGCTGAGGCGACCTGTTTACGGTCTTCGCCAGGCCCCTCGTGAGTGGCACGACACTCTGCGTTCTACCCTCTCTGACCTTGGGTTCCAGCCGTCTTCTGCCGACCCGTCGCTGTTCGTTCGTCGTGGCTCCACACCGTTCTTTGTTCTGGTCTACGTCGACGACCTCGTTTTCGCCACTTCGGACAGGGTTGCTTTGGCAGACGTGAAGTCCGAACTGCAGAAGAGACACACGTGCACTGATCTTGGTGAGCTGCGCCACTACCTTGGCTTGCAGATCACCAGGGACAGAGCCGCTCGCACCATAACACTCTCACAGTCACACATGGTGCAGCAGGTCCTTCAGCGGTTCGGGCTTCAGCACTCCACCGTACAGCACACACCTCTAGCTGTTGACCACAGACTCACTGGTCCCTTTCCTGACGAGCCGTTTGAGCCTAGTGGTCCCTACGCAGAGCTTGTGGGTTGCCTCATGTACCTGATGACTTGTACTCGCCCGGACCTCGCCTTCCCTCTCAGCATCCTTGCGCGCTTTGTTGCGCCAGGGAGACACCGTCCTGTTCACTGGACGGCAGCTGTGAGGGTGGCGAAGTACCTAGCGACTACATCAGGCGTGGGGCTAGTTCTTGGAGGGCAGCAGTCTGTCGTACTCACTGGTCACTGTGACTCCTCTTACGCTGACGACGCTGAGACTCACAGGTCTACTCAGGGGTACTGTTTCAGTCTGGGTTCTGGAGCTGTTTCCTGGCGTTCCACGCGCTCCTCTTCTGTCTCGACCTCTACAGCTGAGGCTGAGATTTACGCTGGTGCCATGGCGGCACAGGAGTTACGGTGGTTGACCTTCTTGCTCGCCGACCTTGGTGAGCGGCCGAGCTCTGCACCGACCTTGTTTACTGACAACAAGGCGTCGATCCTCCTCTGTCGTGAGCCGCGACTGGAGAGCAGAGTGAAGCACATTCACGTCAGGTACTTTCTTCTGCGAGAGTTGCAGAGGCGTGGACAGGCTCGCTTCGAGTTTGTAGAGTCCGAGGCCAACACTGCAGACATCTTCACCAAGGCGCTTCCGCCTTGTGACCACCAGAGGTGTTGTGTGCAGTTAGGCCTTGTTGACACAGGTTCTAGTCATGCGTAGACTTGAGTTTATTGCCTGCTTCGTCTGTACACTTACTATATATACTTGTGATCTCTTGGACTGGCCTTGTGGCCACTGTTGCTTGTGCTCAGAGTGTGTGGTGACGTTGTGATCCACCCTGAGCTTTGTTTTCTTTTGGACTGGTCTTGTGACCGTACTCTTTTTTGTTTTTGCTAGACACCCCTCACTTAGGCTATGGGGGTGTGTCAAATGTTGTAGCCTGTAGTGAGGTTTGTCTTAGGGGGTACAGAAGTTAGGGTTTGTCATATGTACCCCAACCAACATCAATGCAAGACCCATTCCTCATTCTGACAGTTTGCAGTAGGAAAGTGTGATACAAGATTGTTAGTGAATGGAATTTGGGAAGTGTTGGGTCAGATTACTGTAGTTAAATACCATATTGTGTGAAATAAAATTTACTCAGAAACTCTAATTCCACTACCCTTTTACGATACGCATCGCGTGTGAACGCACCAGCAGTTCTCAAACACGGTAGTGAACTCGAAGCTGACAAAAAACCTGCAGAAATGAATACCGCCTGCTACGTTGCATTGATCTTGCTGATGTGCTTATAACGAGACAATTGCTGAGGTGTGTAAAGATTTATGCCCCAACTAATGCTTTGCTGCTCCCTTCTTCCCCATCACATAGCCACCGTCCTCTGGACACACAGGAAAGGAAACAGAGAACGGTGCAGAGCGGTACAGAGGGGCAGAAAGAAACATTTGCTACTGAATTTGCTCCGATTCCCTCACCCACAACGTCTAGACCAACGCACACAGCGGTGACAGGGGGGTGCAGAGCAGTACGGAGGGGTGCAGAGGGGGAGTAAGGACAAATGGCGTGGCATACGCTTATAAATCCCCTGATTTTCCATTTCCCCTTCTCCCCTCTCTCCTCCTCCCGCTCTCCACTCAATTCTCCACTTCCCCATCTCCCTTCAACATTATCCCCTCTCCCCTTCCCCTTCCACACTAGCCCCTCCAACCTCCCCCTTAATGAAGTCCCCTTTCCATTTCTGCTTTCCCCCTTACATACATGGACTCATACCCCCATACACCTTGTACCCTGTACCCTGTACCCCTATAGTCAACTCCCAATCCCTAATATCACCCGCAATCTCGTACCTGCCACTTTTTGTCGAATCCACGTCTCTAGCGCCATTCCCGCCGCCAATCCCGCTGCCACAACCGCGCCGTATTTCGCTATAGTCACACCCCACGATCTCCGCGGAAAGAAATACACGGGGGGAGCGGCGCGCAGCCTTGCGCCGCGCCTGCGCTCCGCCGCCTGCTGCTCCGCCTGGCGGAGCACTGCCTCCGCGGAAAAACCCTCCGCCGCTGCTCGGCCTTCCGCTCCGCCTGCGCCCGCGCCCGCGCCTGCGCCGCCGCGGAGATCACTACTGCTTCCAGCGGGCGCGTTCCGCTGCACGTCGTACCAAGTTTGGGCTTTAAACTCCGTGTATTGGCTAGCCGACGCCGTTTCTGCGGCTCCGGGATTTGCGGTGGCGCGGGCAGTTCCCGCCGCAGAAGGCGGCTTGACGGACGCCATGGTTACACCAGAGGAAAAGGCGAAAGCGTGTCGGAAACTTCAGCTTGCAGCTCCCCCAACCGATCTGCGTAACCAGCTTCGCCAAATGAAATCAGTTCCGCGCAATCCGATCCGCGCTATTAGATTCGCCAGATCGAATCTGTTCCAGGGAATCAGGTTAGATTCTCCAAGAGGACGACCTGAGGGAACGGAAACTTGCGTCGCTGCACAACGAATATTGAACTGCTCTCACAACACCGCGGAAGATCTGCAGAAACCGATAAGCACCGTGTTTTACCGGGTTGTGACAGTTCTTGCGCTTTCCATTAGCCTCACTCTTGACAGCTCGATGTTGAGCCGCGCGAAGACACGAAACGTTGTGTATTCTTTCACCTTTCTCTCTAATCTTTTCCCTGATTATCAAGCGTGTAACTTCTTGCGAGTGGCCCACATACATCATACGTAGAATGAGTGGGTCATTCACACACACTCACCTCCATATCACATTGCCTTTATATCCTTCCAATTCTATCCCAAATGCAAGTCATTTCTGCCAGCACAAACCCCAGGCACCGATGCATCAGCTCAGTCTTGCCATTGTGTACCGTACCGTTGCCGCTTGCTGCTGCATCACACTTCCCCCCTCGATAGTCCTCTCATTCACTTCCCACCCCTAACCACCCATCTCTCTCTCCTCACACCCTTCACTCCTCCAGAGCCATCACCAATTCCTTTATCTCCCCTTTCAGAGCCGTCTAACGCTGCTGCATCGCACTTTCCCCCTCCATACCCCTCCCATTCACTCCCCCACCCCAAACCACCCATCTCCCTCTCCTCACACCCTTCACTCCTCCAGAGCCATCACCAGCTCCTTGATCTCTGCTTTCAGAGCCGCCAGTCGCTGCTGCATCGGGCCGATCTTAGCGTCGATCTCCTTGGCAGAAGTCTTCTTTTCGTATGCCTCCACCGCTACAGTGTGCTTCGCCACCGCCCTCTCTGCGCGCTCCTTCTCCTTTGCAACCAGGGTTTGCACCTGGGGGAACGCAGGGTGGAAAGAAAAACAAGAGAGGAGAGAGAGTAAGGGAAATAGTGAGTAGAGCTTGCATCAGTCTCCTTAGCGGGGGTCTTCTTCTCGTATGCCTCCATTGCCACCGTGTGCTTCGCCACGGCCCTTTCCGCACGTTCCTTCTCCTTTGCAACCAGGGTTTGCACCTGGAGGAACGGAGGGCAGAAAGAGCAGGGGAGGGGGGAGAGGAAGTGTGAGTAAAGCACACGGTGGCAGTGGAGGCATCTTTGGCGGGGGTCTTCTTCTCCTATGGCTCCACTGCCACTGTATGCTTCGCCACCGTCCTCTCTGCACCTTGCTTTTCCTTCGCAACCAAGTCTTGAACCTTGGGGGACCAAGATGGGTGCAACAAGTAAGATGGAAAGAGTGGAAAACGGGGGGATAGGGAAGGGAGGAAGCGGATATTTTGAGGCACCTCTAAAATACACCTGGTTGCAACAAGTAAGACGGAAAGAGTGGAAACTGGGGGAAAGGGAAGCGAGGAAGCGTTGTTTTGAGTCGACTCAAAACAAGATGGGTGCAACAAGTAAGATGGAAAGAGTGGAAACGGGGGGAAAGGGAAGCGAGGAAGCAGACTTTCAGTGCGCAAGGGACCGGCAGGAACCTTGGAAAGAACCTCAATCTTCCCCACCACAGACGCTATCTCCTTCCCACTCCCCTTCAGCTCAGCAAGGGTAAGAGAACAAGACTTACCGTGCGCAGGGGACCGGCAGGAACCTTGGAAATAACCTAGATCTTCCCCACCACAGAAGCAATCTCCCTCCCACTCTCCTTCAACTACCCCTCCACCGCCCTCCTCCCCCGCCCCTCGACTCAATACTCAGCTAAAAAAAAAGGAAGAGAAGTAGGACTTACAGTGCGCAAGGGGCCAGCAGGAACCTTGGAAAGAACCTCGACCTTCCCCACCACAGACGCGATCTCCCTCCCAAGGAGGAGGGATGATGGGACGTGGGTAAAGTAGGATAGCGAGGTGGGAAGCTTGCAAGAGGAAGGAGGGGGGATAAGGAGTACTTACAGTGCGCAGTGGACCAGCAGGAACCTTAGAAAGGGCCTCGATCTTTCCCACCACAGACGCAATCTCCCTCAAGAAAGTACGCAGGAGCGAGGGGTAGGTAGGGAGATGGGGGCCTTGCGACAAGGAAGACGGATGATGGTTGAGGACTTACAGTGCGCAGAGGACCAGCAGGGACCTTGGGGAGAGCCTCGATCTTCCCCACGACAGACGCGATCTCCCTCCCACTCTCCTTCAACTCAGCCTCGACATTCCTCCTCCCCGCCTTCGCCCCTGCCACATCCCCACTCCTCCCCAGCTTCAGCAGCCCTGCGTCCAGAGACTCGATCTGGGCCGCACGATCGGCCACGAGGCGCGAGAGCCGTTGGATGAGATCGAGAAACTCCTCGTGGTGGAGTTTGGCGAGGTAGGCGGGGGCGGTTTTGGAGATGGTGAGATCGGAGTGTGTGTAGGCGATGAAGAGGAGGAAGAGGAGGAAGAAGAAGAGGATGAGGAGGAGTGGCTCGGTGAGGAGAGCCACCTTGGAGAACTTGTACTTCACCTGATGGGGGGAGGGGCGAAAAGGCAGAGCAGGGCAGGGCAGGGCAGGGCAAGGGAGGGAAGGGAAGGGGGAGAGGGAAAGAGGGGCGGTTTTGGAGATAATGAGATTGGAGTGGGTGTAGGCGATGAAGAGGAGGAAGAAGAGGAAGAAGAGGATGAGGAGGAAGAGGAGGAAGAGGAGGAAGAGGAGGAAGAAGAGGAAGAGGAGGAAGAGGAGGAAGAGGAGGAAGAAGAGGAAGAAGAGGAAGAAGAGGATGAGGAGCAGCGGCTCGGTCAGGAGGGCCACCTTTGAGAACTTGTGCTTCACCTGATGGGGGGAGGGGGGAAAAGGCAGAGCAGGGCAGGGAAGGGCGAAGCGGGGCGGGGCGGGGCGGGGCGGGGCGGGGCGGGGCCACCCTGACTCATGTTTCGAAGGGCTGCAGTAGCAGAGAGGACGCTTAAGCAAAGGAACAAACAGTGAAAACTGGTGAAAAAAAACGCAGATCTGAAAAACCCTTAGCTTCCGAAAAGCCACGGCGGGGCGGGGCGGGGCGGGGCGGGGCGGGGCGGAGCAGGGCATGGAAGGTGGACAGGGCAGGTCACACGGAAAGGGGTTCGGTCAGGAGAGCGACCTTTGAGAATTTGTACTTCACCTGATGGGGGGGGACAGGTCACATGTAAAACGAGACACAGCCATGAAAACAAAGAAACCCGTGAAAGAAGGTTTAAAAACAAAACCATCTGTACATTGCTTTGTTTGTTTATTTCGCTGTTTGTTTGATGTTATGCTTGCTTGCTCCCTTGTCTGTTTGACTTCCAGGGGTGCTTACACAGACCATTTTCCCACACCCAACTGGCATTCAAGTTCTTTCCTCTGGGCACACAAGCAGAGCACACCCACCTGGAAGTGCATGATCCCCTGCTCTGGCACCACGTACCTCTTATCCAGCACCACCGCAGCTCATTCGGACACTAGTGCATGGGCTGGCAACCTGTGCTATGCAGCACAGGGCTCAAACGTTTCACCCACCTGGAAGTGCATGATCCCCTGCTCTGGCACCACGTCCCTCTTATCCAGCACCACCACAGGGCGCCCCACCGTGTCCAGGTATGAGTACTTGGTCTGCAGGCAGGTAGAAGGGATGGAGAGGGATGGGAAGGGATGGGAATGTATGGGAAGAGATGGAGAGGCATGGAGACGGATGGGAGGAACAGAATGGGATGAGAAAGAATCAGTGAGCCATTACAATAAACCAGCACCACTCCTTAGGCCCCCATGCCCCCATGCCCATGCTTCACCTGTCCGTCCCTTCACCTTCCCCTACCTTGACCTATCCCCCCCTTCACCTACCCCTACCTTGACCTATCCCCCCCTTCACCTACCCCTACCTTGACCTATCCCCCCCTTCACCTACCCCTACCTTGACCTATCCCCCCCTTCACCTACCCCTACCTTGACCTATCCCCCCCTTCACCTACCCCTACCTTGACCTATCCCCCCCTTCACCTACCCCTACCTTGACCTATCCCCCCCTTCACCTACCCCTACCTTGACCTATCCCCCCCTTCACCTACCCCTACCTTGACCTATCCCCCCCTTCACCTACCCCTACCTTGACCTATCCCCCCCTTCACCTACCCCTACCTTGACCTATCCCCCCCTTCACCTACCCCTACCTTGACCTATCCCCCCCTTCACCTTCCCCTACCTTGACCTATCCCCCCCTTCACCTACCCCTACCTTGACCTATCCCCCCCTTCACCTACCCCTACCTTGACCTATCCCCCCCTTCACCTACCCCTACCTTGACCTATCCCCCCCTTCACCTACCCCTACCTTGACCTATCCCCCCCTTCACCTACCCCTACCTTGACCTATCCCCCCCTTCACCTACCCCTACCTTGACCTATCCCCCCCTTCACCTACCCCTACCTTGACCTATCCCCCCCTTCACCTACCCCTACCTTGACCTATCCCCCCCTTCACCTTCCCCTACCTTGACCTATCCCCCCCTTCACCTACCCCTACCTTGACCTATCCCCCCCTTCACCTACCCCTACCTTGACCTATCCCCCCCTTCACCTACCCCTACCTTGACCTATCCCCCCTTCACCTACCCCTACCTTGACCTATCCCCCCCTTCACCTACCCCTACCTTGACCTATCCCCCCTTCACCTACCCTACCTTGACCTATCCCCCCCTTCACCTACCCCTACCTTGACCTATCCCCCCCTTCACCTACCCCTACCTTGACCTATCCCCCCCTTCACCTACCCCTACCTTGACCTATCCCCCCCTTCACCTACCCCTACCTTGACCTATCCCCCCCTTCACCTACCCCTACCTTGACCTATCCCCCCCTTCACCTTCCCCTACCTTGACCTATCCCCCCCTTCACCTACCCCTACCTTGACCTATCCCCCCCTTCACCTACCCCTACCTTGACCTATCCCCCCCTTCACCTACCCCTACCTTGACCTATCCCCCCCTTCACCTACCCTACCTTGACCTATCCCCCCCTTCACCTACCCCTACCTTGACCTATCCCCCCCTTCACCTACCCCTACCTTGACCTATCCCCCCCTTCACCTACCCCTACCTTGACCTATCCCCCCCTTCACCTACCCCTACCTTGACCTATCCCCCCCTTCACCTACCCCTACCTTGACCTATCCCCCCCTTCACCTACCCCTACCTTGACCTATCCCCCCCTTCACCTACCCCTACCTTGACCTATCCCCCCCTTCACCTACCCCTACCTTGACCTATCCCCCCCTTCACCTACCCTACCTTGACCTATCCCCCCCTTCACCTACCCTACCTTGACCTATCCCCCCCTTCACCTACCCCTACCTTGACCTATCCCCCCCTTCACCTACCCCTACCTTGACCTATCCCCCCCTTCACCTACCCCTACCTTGACCTATCCCCCCCTTCACCTACCCCTACCTTGACCTATCCCCCCCTTCACCTACCCCTACCTTGACCTATCCCCCCCTTCACCTACCCCTACCTTGACCTATCCCCCCCTTCACCTACCCCTACCTTGACCTATCCCCCCCTTCACCTACCCCTACCTTGACCTATCCCCCCCTTCACCTACCCCTACCTTGACCTATCCCCCCCTTCACCTACCCCTACCTTGACCTATCCCCCCCTTCACCTACCCCTACCTTGACCTATCCCCCCCTTCACCTACCCCTACCTTGACCTATCCCCCCCTTCACCTACCCCTACCTTGACCTATCCCCCCCTTCACCTACCCCTACCTTGACCTATCCCCCCCTTCACCTACCCCTACCTTGACCTATCCCCCCCTTCACCTACCCCTACCTTGACCTATCCCCCCCTTCACCTACCCCTACCTTGACCTATCCCCCCCTTCACCTACCCCTACCTTGACCTATCCCCCCCTTCACCTACCCCTACCTTGACCTATCCCCCCCTTCACCTACCCCTACCTTGACCTATCCCCCCCTTCACCTACCCTACCTTGACCTATCCCCCCCTTCACCTACCCCTACCTTGACCTATCCCCCCCTTCACCTACCCCTACCTTGACCTATCCCCCCCTTCACCTACCCCTACCTTGACCTATCCCCCCCTTCACCTACCCCTACCTTGACCTATCCCCCCCTTCACCTACCCCTACCTTGACCTATCCCCCCCTTCACCTACCCCTACCTTGACCTATCCCCCCCTTCACCTACCCCTACCTTGACCTATCCCCCCCTTCACCTACCCTACCTTGACCTATCCCCCCCTTCACCTACCCCTACCTTGACCTATCCCCCCCTTCACCTACCCCTACCTTGACCTATCCCCCCCTTCACCTACCCCTACCTTGACCTATCCCCCCCTTCACCTACCCCTACCTTGACCTATCCCCCCCTTCACCTACCCCTACCTTGACCTATCCCCCCCTTCACCTACCCCTACCTTGACCTATCCCCCCCTTCACCTACCCCTACCTTGACCTATCCCCCCCTTCACCTACCCCTACCTTGACCTATCCCCCCCTTCACCTACCCCTACCTTGACCTATCCCCCCCTTCACCTACCCCTACCTTGACCTATCCCCCCCTTCACCTACCCCTACCTTGACCTATCCCCCCCTTCACCTACCCCTACCTTGACCTATCCCCCCCTTCACCTACCCCTACCTTGACCTATCCCCCCCTTCACCTACCCCTACCTTGACCTATCCCCCCCTTCACCTACCCCTACCTTGACCTATCCCCCCTTCACCTACCCCTACCTTGACCTATCCCCCCCTTCACCTACCCCTACCTTGACCTATCCCCCCCTTCACCTACCCCTACCTTGACCTATCCCCCCCTTCACCTACCCCTACCTTGACCTATCCCCCCTTCACCTACCCCTACCTTGACCTATCCCCCCCTTCACCTACCCCTACCTTGACCTATCCCCCCCTTCACCTACCCCTACCTTGACCTATCCCCCCCTTCACCTACCCCTACCTTGACCTATCCCCCCCTTCACCTACCCCTACCTTGACCTATCCCCCCCTTCACCTACCCCTACCTTGACCTATCCCCCCCTTCACCTACCCCTACCTTGACCTATCCCCCCTTCACCTACCCCTACCTTGACCTATCCCCCCCTTCACCTACCCCTACCTTGACCTATCCCCCCCTTCACCTACCCCTACCTTGACCTATCCCCCCTTCACCTACCCCTACCTTGACCTATCCCCCCCTTCACCTTCCCCTACCTTGACCTATCCCCCCCTTCACCTACCCCTACCTTGACCTATCCCCCCCTTCACCTACCCCTACCTTGACCTATCCCCCCCTTCACCTACCCCTACCTTGACCTATCCCCCCCTTCACCTACCCCTACCTTGACCTATCCCCCCTTCACCTACCCCTACCTTGACCTATCCCCCCCTTCACCTACCCCTACCTTGACCTATCCCCCCCTTCACCTACCCCTACCTTGACCTATCCCCCCCTTCACCTACCCCTACCTTGACCTATCCCCCCCTTCACCTACCCCTACCTTGACCTATCCCCCCCTTCACCTACCCCTACCTTGACCTATCCCCCCCTTCACCTACCCCTACCTTGACCTATCCCCCCCTTCACCTACCCCTACCTTGACCTATCCCCCCCTTCACCTTCCCCTACCTTGACCTATCCCCCCCTTCACCTACCCCTACCTTGACCTATCCCCCCCTTCACCTACCCCTACCTTGACCTATCCCCCCCTTCACCTACCCCTACCTTGACCTATCCCCCCCTTCACCTACCCCTACCTTGACCTATCCCCCCCTTCACCTACCCCTACCTTGACCTATCCCCCCCTTCACCTACCCCTACCTTGACCTATCCCCCCCTTCACCTACCCCTACCTTGACCTATCCCCCCCTTCACCTACCCCTACCTTGACCTATCCCCCCCTTCACCTTCCCCTACCTTGACCTATCCCCCCTTCACCTACCCCTACCTTGACCTATCCCCCCCTTCACCTACCCCTACCTTGACCTATCCCCCCCTTCACCTACCCCTACCTTGACCTATCCCCCCTTCACCTACCCCTACCTTGACCTATCCCCCCCTTCACCTACCCCTACCTTGACCTATCCCCCCCTTCACCTACCCCTACCTTGACCTATCCCCCCCTTCACCTACCCCTACCTTGACCTATCCCCCCCTTCACCTACCCCTACCTTGACCTATCCCCCCCTTCACCTACCCCTACCTTGACCTATCCCCCCCTTCACCTACCCCTACCTTGACCTATCCCCCCCTTCACCTTCCCCTACCTTGACCTATCCCCCCCTTCACCTACCCCTACCTTGACCTATCCCCCCCTTCACCTACCCCTACCTTGACCTATCCCCCCCTTCACCTACCCCTACCTTGACCTATCCCCCCCTTCACCTACCCCTACCTTGACCTATCCCCCCCTTCACCTACCCCTACCTTGACCTATCCCCCCCTTCACCTACCCCTACCTTGACCTATCCCCCCCTTCACCTACCCCTACCTTGACCTATCCCCCCCTTCACCTACCCCTACCTTGACCTATCCCCCCCTTCACCTACCCCTACCTTGACCTATCCCCCCCTTCACCTACCCCTACCTTGACCTATCCCCCCCTTCACCTACCCCTACCTTGACCTATCCCCCCCTTCACCTTCCCCTACCTTGACCTATCCCCCCCTTCACCTACCCCTACCTTGACCTATCCCCCCCTTCACCTACCCCTACCTTGACCTATCCCCCCCTTCACCTACCCCTACCTTGACCTATCCCCCCCTTCACCTACCCCTACCTTGACCTATCCCCCCCTTCACCTACCCCTACCTTGACCTATCCCCCCCTTCACCTACCCCTACCTTGACCTATCCCCCCCTTCACCTACCCCTACCTTGACCTATCCCCCCCTTCACCTACCCCTACCTTGACCTATCCCCCCCTTCACCTACCCCTACCTTGACCTATCCCCCCCTTCACCTACCCCTACCTTGACCTATCCCCCCCTTCACCTACCCCTACCTTGACCTATCCCCCCCTTCACCTACCCCTACCTTGACCTATCCCCCCCTTCACCTACCCCTACCTTGACCTATCCCCCCCTTCACCTACCCCTACCTTGACCTATCCCCCCCTTCACCTACCCCTACCTTGACCTATCCCCCCCTTCACCTACCCCTACCTTGACCTATCCCCCCCTTCACCTACCCCTACCTTGACCTATCCCCCCCTTCACCTACCCCTACCTTGACCTATCCCCCCCTTCACCTACCCCTACCTTGACCTATCCCCCCCTTCACCTACCCCTACCTTGACCTATCCCCCCCTTCACCTACCCCTACCTTGACCTATCCCCCCCTTCACCTACCCCTACCTTGACCTATCCCCCCCTTCACCTACCCCTACCTTGACCTATCCCCCCCTTCACCTACCCCTACCTTGACCTATCCCCCCCTTCACCTTCCCCTACCTTGACCTATCCCCCCCTTCACCTACCCCTACCTTGACCTATCCCCCCCTTCACCTACCCCTACCTTGACCTATCCCCCCCTTCACCTACCCCTACCTTGACCTATCCCCCCCTTCACCTACCCCTACCTTGACCTATCCCCCCCTTCACCTTCCCCTACCTTGACCTATCCCCCCCTTCACCTACCCCTACCTTGACCTATCCCCCCCTTCACCTACCCCTACCTTGACCTATCCCCCCCTTCACCTACCCCTACCTTGACCTATCCCCCCCTTCACCTACCCCTACCTTGACCTATCCCCCCCTTCACCTACCCCTACCTTGACCTATCCCCCCCTTCACCTACCCCTACCTTGACCTATCCCCCCCTTCACCTACCCCTACCTTGACCTATCCCCCCCTTCACCTACCCCTACCTTGACCTATCCCCCCCTTCACCTACCCCTACCTTGACCTATCCCCCCCTTCACCTTCCCCTACCTTGACCTATCCCCCCCTTCACCTACCCCTACCTTGACCTATCCCCCCCTTCACCTACCCCTACCTTGACCTATCCCCCCCTTCACCTACCCCTACCTTGACCTATCCCCCCCTTCACCTACCCCTACCTTGACCTATCCCCCCCTTCACCTACCCCTACCTTGACCTATCCCCCCCTTCACCTACCCCTACCTTGACCTATCCCCCCCTTCACCTACCCCTACCTTGACCTATCCCCCCCTTCACCTACCCCTACCTTGACCTATCCCCCCCTTCACCTACCCCTACCTTGACCTATCCCCCCCTTCACCTACCCCTACCTTGACCTATCCCCCCCTTCACCTACCCCTACCTTGACCTATCCCCCCCTTCACCTTACCCCTACCTTGACCTATCCCCCCTTCACCTACCCCTACCTTGACCTATCCCCCCCTTCACCTACCCCTACCTTGACCTATCCCCCCCTTCACCTACCCCTACCTTGACCTATCCCCCCCTTCACCTACCCCTACCTTGACCTATCCCCCCCTTCACCTACCCCTACCTTGACCTATCCCCCCCTTCACCTACCCCTACCTTGACCTATCCCCCCCTTCACCTACCCCTACCTTGACCTATCCCCCCCTTCACCTACCCCTACCTTGACCTATCCCCCCCTTCACCTACCCCTACCTTGACCTATCCCCCCCTTCACCTACCCCTACCTTGACCTATCCCCCCCTTCACCTACCCCTACCTTGACCTATCCCCCCCTTCACCTTCCCCTACCTTGACCTATCCCCCCCTTCACCTTCCCCTACCTTGACCTATCCCCCCCTTCACCTTCCCCTACCTTGACCTATCCCCCCCTTCACCTACCCCTACCTTGACCTATCCCCCCTTTCACCTTCCCCTACCTTGACCTATCCCCCCCTTCACCTTCCCCTACCTTGACCTATCCCCCCCTTCACCTACCCCTACCTTGACCTATCCCCCCCTTCACCTTCCCCTACCTTGACCTATCCCCCCCTTCACCTTCCCCTACCTTGACCTATCCCCCCCTTCACCTTCCCCTACCTTCTCACACCCCACCCATGCTCTCACCTTGGTGCTCTTGCCCACAGGGAAGGGCACATCCGCAAAAATTGCCACATGAACCCTCCTCTTACGCGCATGCCCCCATACCTCCAAAACCCCACACTCCCACATACTCCAATGCCCCAATGCCCCCATGCTTATCACGCCCCTGCTCTCACCTCGGTGCTCTTGCCCACAGGGAAGGGCACATCCGCAGAAATGCCATATGAACCCTCCATACCTCCATACCTCCATACCCCCACACTCCCACATACTCCAATGCCCCAATGCCCCCATGCTTACAACGCCCCTGCTCTCACCTCGGTGCTCTTGCCCACGGGGAAGGGCACATCCGCAGAAATGCCAAATGAACCCTAGGTGACTTTTGAGTCGACTCAAAAGTTCGCTCTCACCTCGGTGCTCTTGCCCACGGGGAAGGGCACATCCGCAGAAATGCCAAATGAACCCTAGGTGACTTTTGAGTCGACTCAAAAGTTCGCTCTCACCTCGGTGCTCTTGCCCACGGGGAAGGGCACATCCGCAGAGATGCCATAGGATCCCTCTGGAAGCACCACCTGATTTTTGAAACGAATATGGACGAAAACGGGAGGGTCGGGAGGGAAGGCCGGGAGGAGGGATGGAGGAAGTAAGAGCACATTATGGAGGCGAAAGAGGGCATGAACATCAGCTGCAGGGATGCCGCCCTATGGGAGGCAGGGAGGAGGACGATGTACTCAAGGAAGGGAGATGGCGGAGGGTATAAGGCATGAGCTTTGGCGCAAAAGTGAGTCTATGGTTGACTCGACTAAGAAATGGAGACTATTTTTGAGTCGACTCAAAAATGGAGATGACGGAGGGCACAAGGCATGAGCTTTGGCGCAAAAGCTCTGCCCAACTCGAAACGCCTCTCTTCCCACCCACCACCCACCCAACCAACACCCCCACCCCTTGCTGCCCCTCCCCTGCTGCCCCTCCCCTGCTGCCCCTCCCTTGGTGCCCCTCCCCTGCTGCCCCTCCCTTGCTCCCCCTCCCCTGCTGCCCCTTTCTCAATGAAACTCCCAGAATCTCACCTTCACAGTGAGGTGCTTGACGGGCACGTCAGCAAAGGGGCTGCCGAGGGTGGCGTTGAGCATGCGAGTGCCGTCTGTGCTGATGGAGACCAGGTCGCCCAGAGGCACGCTGTACCCCACTCGGAACGTCACGGACCACCCGCCCAGGAGCGGGTACCGAGGCTCGATCTCCAGCTCGGCCTGAGGTTCAGGGAACGGAGGTTCGGGAGAGGGATGGGTATTTGGGATTAGATGTGCCAGTGTTGGAGGATACAGGTAGAGAAAAACGTGTGGGATTGACAGGCGCATGGGTAAGGGAGGAGGGGTTTCGGCATACGCAGGCGCATGGGTAGGGATAGAGGTTGAGTTGAGATGAGGTGGGTGTGAACACGAAAAGAGGACATCATATTATGGCACCCACTAGTAGCACCCACCCAGCACCCACTAGTACCCCATCAGCACCCACCAGCACCGCGCTAACACCCACTAGCACCCACCAGCACCACCAGCACCGCACTGCACACCTTTCTGAAGGGGTATCGGAGGTGCGAGGAGGAGATATTCCCGATCTCGTCCCTGTAATACACCATGTGCGCCCTCTCCGGCAGCACTGCCATGAAGCCCCCACCACCCACCAGCACCGCACTAACACCCACTAGCACCCACCAGCACCACACTGCACACCTTTCTGGGCGGGTATCGGAGGTGCGAGGAGGAGATGTTCCCGATCTCGTCCCTGTAATACACCGTGTGCGCCCTCTCCGGCAGCACTGCCATGAGTCCGCGCAGGGAAGAAACGCCAATGGCCATGGGCCGGTGCTGGTAGTCCAGACTGGAGTATACGGGAAAACCAGGAGTGTTGGAGGGGAAAAGGGGGAACGGGAGGGGGGAGGGGTGTGACAGGAGTAGGAACTGTAAGAATTGGGTTAAGTCCCGTGTGCCCCTCTCCGGCAGCACTGCCATGAGTCCGCGCAGGGACGACACGCCGATGGCCATGGGCCGGTGCTGGTAGTCCAGACTGGAATAGATGGGAACAACAGGAGGAAAGGAGGAAGAAGGGGGCAGGAGGAGTGGAGGTGGAGAGGGAGGGGTAATTCAGTTTAGCAACGTGAGGCAGATCAGTTGGCGCAGAGACGGGACGCCGATGGCCATAGGGCAATGCTGGTAGTCCAGACTGGAAGCCATGGAAGCAGGAGGAGGGGAGGGGGGAAAGGGAGCAGGAGGAATGATGGGGAAAGGGAGGGGTGCAGGTGGAGTGAAAGGGGGAAGGGAGGGAAGCAGGATTGAAGACTTTTATGACCATGTCAGGCGCATGCAAGGCCCTGGCAAGAACTGTATGGCAGCTGAAGCGCGAGTTACTCCAACAGGCTAGGGGTCGCGAACAAGCACTGCTTAAGGTGACGCAGGCGCTGACTGAAACGGAGCATCTGGTGACGAGGGTTGCTGAGTTGGAAAGTTGGCTGGAGGAGGCACAAAACGAAAACGCACCAGAAAACGCTACCTTTTCGTTTCGCGCCTCTGCCAATCAGACTCTGCAACTCCAGAACCCTCACCAACAGCCGCTCTTTTTTCAGTTAGCACCTGTTTTGACGCCTCTCTGCGCTTCTTACCGTGAGAACAGGCCCGTGTGCTTGGCACCCGAGTGCACCACGTGGTAGTCCTCCGTCACATATACAATCCCCCAGAGCAAGATCTTGTACTCCCGCTCCGCCCTTCTATCTCTTCCTTGCCAGAAAACCCATTCCTTTACCTGCGTTCCCATCTTCATTCAGCCCTCACCGAGAGAACATGCCAGTGTGTTTCGCGCCCGAGTGCACCAGGTGGTAGTCCTCCGTCACATACACATTCCCCCAGTGAGAAGCCTCCTACTCCCCCTCATACCCCCATTCTTCCGTGCTGTGTCTCCTACATGCATCCCCCTACATGCATCCCTACCACCACACAGCACTCACCGGGAGAACATGCCCGTGTGTTTCGCCCCCGAGTGCACCAGGTGATAGTCCTCCGTCACATACACATTCCCCCAGTGCGAGATCTCGTACTCCCGCTCCGCGCGCTCAAACAGCGGGAACGGCCGGTTGTTCTCATAGTGCACCGCTAGCGCCGACACCGCTCCGGCCTCCACACCCTCATACGGTCCCAACTTGATCTCCGAGTCCGCCTTCTTGGAAGGTTCCAGCGGCGTGAACGACTCGATCTGGTGGCTGGGGAGGCGGAGAACGGTGCTCTGCGATCGGACGGGGTACGGAGAGGTGAAGTAGTGCGAGTCGTGGAAAATCACCAGCTGCGGGTCCGCCTGGGAGATTGCCGCTGGGTGAGGCGTGAGGGCGTTAATCACCACGAAGTAACACTCTATCTGCGCGGTTTTCCCGGGTTCTAGCGGCGCGGGCAGCTGGGCTTTTAAGTAGATCGCGTTTTCGACCGGGGAGTCCGGGGTGGTGGAAGTGAGGGGAAGTTCCTGGAAGGTGCGGCTCTTGGCCTTGCCCTGAAGGAGAACGGCCGTGGCGAAGGCGAGGCGGCCGGGCGGCGGGACGAGCAGCGCGAGGGTGACCGAAGAGACAGGTGTCGAGCCCGCGTTCTCCACCTGTAGGTGACAAAAATAGAAAAGAAGGGACAGAATAGACAAAATCGGGTAAGGGGAAGGATGCGGCACGAGAAAAGGCAGGAGGAAGGGCAAGCGGGCTAAAGCATTTTGAGAGAGCTTGGAATGTAGAACTCAGAAAAAAAGAACACAACATCCCGCAGGTTCAGCAGCATTTCAGCATCAGAATCCTCATGGCATGTGCGTGTCTCCACGACAGCAATGCACGGATAGTGCCCTGCTGGCATGCGTGCAGGAACACGCCTCTATACTCACACTCTCATCGAAAACAGAGCAATTCGGCAATCAGCATCAGAACCCTCATGGCATGTGCGTGTCTCCACGACAGCAGGGCGCGGATAGCGCCCTGTTGTGTCCGAGCCCTTGCGCAATCAACATGAGCATCATCATCTGCTGTTGCCGTACATGCGCACGCACCAATTGAAACATGCGCGCATGTTAAGAGATGCGCTCCTTCTAAGATATGCGCGCGTGCGAAGACATACGCGAATGCTGACATATGTGCATGCTAAGACATCCGCGCCTAAGACATGCGCGCATACTCCGGCACAAGTACTGCTTGTAGCAAAATACTGAACATTCCTGAAGACGACATTCGTGTATACACCTCTTGCCCCCTAACATCTTCGTGTCACTCCAATAAAAAACGTCCTGCTGCCAAGTTAACCTAGAAAGAGTGCATCACCCGAAAAAAATGAATCTACATGACGGAAGACAATTTCTTTTGTTACAGGACTAAATGTGTCTCATTACACACAAAGCAGAAAATTCAAATCGGCTGAAATTATCTTACCTTGAGGGTCGCGGAATTGCGGACAAGATGGGTCTGAAGGTCGATCTGCATAAGAGAGAACATGGGGGAAACAAGGGGAGGGTAGAGCCGCGGACGACAGAGAACACGTTTAAAAAAAAGGGAAAAGCGATGTGTCAATTCTGGAAACATTATGTATTGAACAATTCGAAACTAGAACCAAAGCTATTCATGTGGTAATATGGATTCAGTCGTGCTGTCCGCGGGAATCGACAAATGGCGTAATAAAGAGCATCGAACCGTCATAAGCAGCATTTCCGCAAACAGCTTGTGTCGCATGCTTGCTGGTATGGATCTAGCGATGTGGCCGTGGCCGTGGCCGTTGGATTATAACAGTTCAGATCTAACGGTCGACAATAAACCACGGATCTAACGCACAACATCACACAGATTCAGATCCTGTAAACAAAGTGATAATAGCGAGCGGCATGGCTGCGTAGGCCCAAGCGCAAGTCCACTAATCCGTGAATATACAATCTGCCGTTCGCGCCTTAAAATCTGCCCTGACACTAACCAGAAAATCGATCGTTACTATTCTGTAAATCCATCTTTTCGACAATGAGCGGCTCGAACACTTCGATCTGCCCTGACAATGACCAGAGATTTGTAACAAATAGTTTTCGTCAACAAGCAGTTCGCACCTTACGATCTACCCTGACGATGACCAGATCTTCGCTCGCTTGACCGATACACGCGAGAGACGCCAGAACCAGCGAGAAAACCACGAAGCGCCGCGCGAATCGGAACGCGCATGCGCCTAGAGACGACATGGCTGCGGCTGCTGGAAGAACAGCGATCTCCTAAAAGTTGATCAGGCTGTCAGGAATCCCTAGGGGGGTGGGAATTCTGGGAGTGACAGATTTGACGGATTTGAAGGATGTGAAGGATTTGGCCGAGAGGCCAGATCGAAAATGGAGGTGGCGAGGAGGGAAGGAAGGCTCGGGTGGGAGAAGTACTATGATCTGCGATATAGGGTGATTCGCGGACTGAAGTGGAAACTCATAAACTGAAACATTTTCTAATCGCCTGTAAACATGCGATCAAAACACACTCATAAAGCGGTAATCAAGCAATGGCACAGCCCAACCTGAACAATGTACAGGTGCAGATAAATGCTTTATAGATGGCATATGCATTCCGCGCCAGAATATTCATTTCCACTGCTGAACTCTTTCGCTAAACAAGCCTCACTGGTTGGCCCTCCGAATTGGGAACCCACTTTCCCGGCACCCATGCACCAAAAGCATCGCGATAACCACCCTGATCTAGAATATGCAACCAATAAATACTCGGCGGTGCAATGCTGCTATTAGGTGGCGCTCTTATCGCAGCTGTAACAGTTCGATTGTCCGGCGAAATCCAAACCATGGATATGTCAAGCCGCACGTTTCGCATACCCATGCGTTGGCTATGTGTTGAAAATCCGGGATGAACAAGCACGGCACGGAAGCGATCGATAAGGCGCGGGAGCGATGAAGGAGTTGCTACAGTTGTATTGAGGCGGACTGAGAAGAGAGTATTCAAGGTAATGGTTGAGGGTACCTGAAGGTAATAAGGTGAAGGGACGGAGAAATGGAATGTACACATCAACACGGTGGGCGCTGCTTAGAAGTTAGGGTGGATAAGAAAAGGCAGAGAAGCGACAAGACTGAAAGTCGGACTTGACTGCACTCCCTTCCCCTTCCCGCGTTCCCCGTTTCCCACAACCCCCCCTCACCTTCCACAGCACGTTTCTCGGCACCCCCCACTGCAGATACGATGGGGCAAACCGGTCAACGGCGAATTGAGTAGGGTAAGTTCCCCTAGTAGTGAGGCGGTCGTTGGGATTAGACCCAGAAATCAGCACCGAGCCGTCCCACAGCAGCAGAGCAGAGGAGTGGTACATGCGAGCGTAGCGACTCGACTCTGGGACCTGCCAAAAGCTGTAAAAGGGAGGCAGGAGAGTGGTACATAAATCAGAGCGACAGAGAGCAGAGCAGCAGAGCAGAGGAGTGGTACATGCGGGCATAGCTTCTTGACTTTGGAACTTGCCAGAAGCTGTTTGGGGTTTTGGGGTGCAGGGTATAGGAGGCATGAATAGAAAGAGGTTCGAGTTGGCAAGTCCCGGAGCAGCAGAGCAGCATGACAGCAGAGTAGCAGGGCAGAGGAGTGGTACATACATACGAGTGCAACGGAGGGTGGATTCAGAGCAACCCACCGCTTGTCAGGAAGATGTGGGTTCGAACCGCAGCAAGCGGAGTGGTCTCCTCAAAGTTCCTAACTAACAACTAGGAGTACTAGGAGTGGGAAAAAAAGTAGAATCGGGACTTGGTAAGTCCAACTTCAGTAAAGAACGTAGGCGTACGCGTTTCGGCCGCGAGGCCTTCGTCAGCGCCGTAGGATTCAGAGGCGAGGCAGAGGAGTGGTACATACATACGAATGCAACGGCGGGTGGAATCAGAGCAACCCACCGCTTGCCAGGAGGATTAGAGGGGGTGTAGATGACAGGTGTCCTCACTTCCCCTCCCGCATACGTTTGCTTCAGACCCTGAAAGCCCCTCCTGCCTCCGTTGCAGATCAGAACCGTGCCATCCAATAGGAGCACGGCATCCGGCATAACACTGCTCAGGGTCGGATGGAGAGGCGGCGGGGGAAGGGTGAGGAAGTGGGAGGGGGAGGAGAGGACGAATGCACGTGTCCGTGTGTACACATGACTAGACGACTCACAAGTCATTTCATGAGGAAGTGGGAGGGGGAGGAGAGGATGAATGCATGTGTCCGTGTGTACACATGACTAGGGGAATTGAAGCACCCTCTCACCGAGCCACGGGCGTGATCTCGTAGGTCCATGTAGGGTTGGGGTCCATAGGCGCAATGAGCCCACACGTGGCTGTGGCAGGGGTAGCACACACCCAAGGCATGGCACACTCACACATGCACACACTTGCTTGTGGCAGGCAGCCAAGCAGCACTCACCATGCAACTGGCATGGTCTCGTAGGTCCATGTTGGGTTGGCGTCCATGGGCCCAATGAGCCCACACGTGGCTGTGGCAGGGGCAGCACTCATGCATGACCTTGCTGCCGTTCTCACAGGGCACTCACGGGGCCAGCAAGGGCAGGCAGGGGGACGTGGGACTCACCGTGCCACAGGCATGATCTCGTAGGTCCATGTGGGGTTAAAATCCATGGGCGCAATGAGCCCACACGTGGCTGTGGCAGGGGCATCACACCCAAGGCACCTCAAGGCACTTTCGCAGGCACCCAAGAAACGTGCACGGGGCCAGGAAGAGCAAAGAGGGGGCTGCTAAGCTTGTGCACTCACCGTGCTACAGGCATGATTTCATAACTCCATGTGGGGTTGGCGTCCATGGGCGCAATGAGCCCACACGTGGCTGCGGCAGGGGCTGCACACCCAAGGCATGCCCCCGTACGGTTGTCCCGGTTGGTGAGGTCCGCACTGCTGCTGCTGCCGCCACAGATGAGAATCCTGGGCTTGTACCCGTCAGCTGGACGGGTGAGGGTAAAGCATGGGAATGAGGAGAAACAATGAGTGTGGGCATCAGCAGCGGTCACACACCCAAGGCACGCCCCCGTGCAGTTGTCCCTGTTGGTCTGGTCTGCCTGACTGCTGCTGCCTCCACAGATGAGAATCCCGGGCGTGTGCCCGTCAGCTGGATGGACGAGGGGGAGGGGGAGATGGGAGTTTCGTATTGCACGAACCCAGGGGGAACACACCTCAAAACTCAGGGGCAGCACACCCAAGGCACGCCCCCGTGCGGTTGTCCCGGTTGGTTAGGTCCCCCTGGTTGCTGCTGCTGCCGCCACAGATGAGAATCCTGGGCGTATACCCGTCAGCTGAGGAGGGGAGATGGGAAGACAGAGGAATGAGGAGAGCAGAGGTGTGCATGCACATGCCCAAGTCACGCCCCCGTGCGGTTGTCCTGGTTGGTGAGGTCTGCACTGCTGCTGCTCCCTCCACAGATGAGAATCCCGGGCGTGTACCCGTCAGCTGGATGGGCGAGGGGGAGATGGGGAAGATGGAGATGGGGATGGGATATCGCATGCCCCACACACCCAATTCATGCCGGGCCATGTGTGCTTCTCCCAATCCTATGTGTCACTTTCAAGGTATGCGCTCCCCCTTTCTTCCAAGACCTGGAAGGACATCATGCCGCCTGGATTTCAGCTGTCTTGTTTGGGACAGACAAAGCGGTTCCAGGCATCATTTATGCGCGTGCTTAGCTCTTTGAACTGCTTTGCATGCTGAGCTCTCGTTTGGCTTATGCGTGCGCTGAGCTGACGAAGTAGATCAGAGAGCTCAGCACAAGCATAAGCCAAACGCAAGCTCCACATGCAAAGCAGTTCAAAGAGCTCAACAAGCGCATATATGATGCCTGGAATCGCTTTGTCTATCCCAAACAAGGCAGCTGGATTCCAGGCCGAAATCAAATGACATTCCAGGTCCAGGAGGAAAGGGGGAGCGCATACGGTGAAAGTGACACATGGGAGCCGTCAGCTAGATGGGAGAGGAAAAGATGGTGGGGATTGGGAGAAGCACATGTGGCCGCGCCCCACACGCATGAGCAGTGCAAGGGAGGTCAGCTTTGCTGCTGCTGCCCCCGCAAATAAGGATCCTGGGCGTGTACCCGTCAGCTGGATGGGAGTGAGGGAGATGGGGAGAGGGGTAGAGGAAGAAGGGGATGGGAGTGAGTAAGGTACACACCCACGGGCCGCACACCCAAGATCTGCATCGCTGCTGCTGCCCCCACAGATGAAAATCCTGGTTGCCGTTGTGAGAAGAAGGTGAATGGTTGTGGCACAAAAAGGCTGTAGCACAGACATGAAGGGGAAATAACTGAGGAGAGCTGTAGCATGGTAGAGGAGCCGGTGACAGGGTAGGCGCGGTGTGAGGCGCCTCATTCCATACAGTACAAAGGCTGTAGCAGAGGAGACAGGAATACCTGAGGAGAGTTGTAGCACGGCAGCGGGCACGATTGCTTGAAGAGAGCTGTAGAATGGCTGAGGAGCCGGTGACAGGGTAGGAGCGGCACGAGATGACTCACAAACATACATCAAAGATCGGCTGTAGCACAGGCAGAAGTACAGTTGACATTGAGGGGAGTACCTGAGGAGAGCTGTAGCATGGCTGAGGAGCCGGTGACAGGGTAGGAGCGGAAGATGTTGGTGTTGGCTGGGCCGAAGCGAGAGACATCGAGAGGAGGAAGGGTGCGGTACACCTGAAGGGATGGAAGAGGAATCACAGATGGTGTCAGGGTGAACAAGGGAGGGAGGGAGGGAGGCAAGGGACAGGACAGAAGAGGCGGTGAGAGGAGGAGTGGAAGATGTTGGTTTTGGCTGGGCCAAAGCGGGAAACGTCGAGAGGGGGAAGGGTGCGGTGCAATACACCTAGGAGAGATGGGAGGGAGGAAGAGAGGAAGGAGAGGTAAAGAGAAGGTAGCTTAGATTAGCACGGGAGGTGGGGCATACCCAGTATAGGCGTACACCACCCGCAGTGGAGGACTGTAGCAAAAGTCAGAGTAGTTCAGTGTGGTCCAGTGTAGCCCAGTGTGGTCCAGTGTGATCCAGTGTGATTCAGTGCGGTTCAATGCGATTGAACTCGTACCATGTTGGTGGTGTAGTTGAGGAGGATAGCCCGTTGCCCGCGAATATAAACAGATGCCCCGAAGGCAGCAGGTGCACAAAAGGGTAGTGGATAACACACCACCCACCGTGCAGAGCTTTGGTGAGATTCAGAGTGGTTCACGGTGGTTCTGTGTGGTTTAGCGTGGTTGGGCACATACCGTGTTGGTGGTGTAGTTGAGGAGGATAGCCCGTTGCCCGCGAATATAAACAGATGCCCCGAAGGCAGCAGGTGCACAAAAGGGTAGTGGATAACACACCACCCACCGTGCAGAGCTTTGGTGAGATTCAGAGTGGTTCACGGTGGTTCTGTGTGGTTTAGCGTGGTTGGGCACATACCGTGTTGGTGGTGTAGTTGAGGAGGATTGCGCGTTGCCCCGCGAATATGAACAGATGCCCTGAAGGCAGCAGGTGCACAAACGGGTACAGGTTGTACGGCAAAGTTTCTTCCAGAAAGCGAAGCTTGTAGTTGCCTGGAGGTGAACAATGGAGAGAGGGGCGGGGGAATGGAAGGGTTGAAAGATGGAGAGAGTGAGACAGCAGGTGCACAAACGGATACAGATTGTAGGGTAGTGTTTCTTCTAGAAAACGGAGCTTGTGATTGCCTGGAGGGTGGTGACAGGGTCGGGAAGAGAAATGAAAGGGGTGGGAGTGGGAGGGAGAGGTGGCCCAAAGGCAGCAGCTTCACAAGTACAGATGGTAGGGAAGTGTCTCTTCCAACAGCTTGTATTGTAGTCCTAAGTGGCATGGAGAGGCGGTGTTGTGTTGTGTCTCATCCCTGTCCCGGCACGGATAACTTTTGAGACATCTCAAAAGTGGCATGGGGAGGCGGTGCTGTGTTGTGTCTCATCTCTATCCCGACACGGATAATGCGACAGTGGGAAAAGAGAAGGAAAGGGAAAGGCGTGGGTAAGGCATGTGGCTGAAGCAGAGGAGGCGGAATGCCCGTGCCGACACAACTTTGCCTAACAGCTCACCCTCTCCGTCTTTCCGGGGCCAGAACTCGAAGGTGGGGTTGTTGTTTTGAACTGAGTTGATCGCCACGTTGGCAAACACATTTGCACCCCCCACAATGAAGATACGGCCGTCTGGTAAGAGCTGGGCCGCGGGGTACCACCGCTTGGAGGTCATTTCCCTCTCTAACCACACACAACCGCACCCAATCGGCCACACAAAGCAGGGAAACACCTCCCTACACCTCTCACCTTCTCCGTCCTTCCTGGGCCAGAACTCGAAGGTGGGGTTGTTGTTTTGAACTGAGTTGATCGCCACGTTGCAAAACACATTGGCGCCACCAACAATGAAGATACGGCCGTCTGGTAAGAGCTGGGCCGTGGGGTACCACCGCTTGGCTTGGAGGCCACTTCTCTCTCCCCACCCCACCCCTTTCTGCCATACACAGCCCGTTCAACCCCACACAACCGCACTAGACCATGGAAGAACCCTGCATCCGCCTCACCTTCTCCGTCCTTCCTGGGCCAGAACTCGAAGGTGGGGTTGTTGTTTTGAACCGAATTGATCGCCACGTTGCCAAACACGTTGGCCCCTCCCACAATGAAGATGCGGCCGTCTGGTAAGAGCTGGGCCGTGGGGTACCACCGCTTGGAGGTCATCTGTCCCACCAGGGAGAAATCACACCCCCCACTGCTACTGCTGCCGCCGCCGTTGCTGCTGCTGCTATTGGCACTACTAGCAGCAGCAGCAGCGGGGGCAGCAGTAGCAGGGGGGCAGGGGGTGAAGGAGCGGATGGAGGCAGATCCGTCGAGGAGAGGGTCGGCCAGGTTGGTGGCATTGGCGTCTGATGTGCCTCCGATGCTGATCAGCCGACCATATGGGTCTATGGCTCCTGGAGGGTGGGGAGGAGGAAGGTTTGGGGGGCGTGAAGGTGAACATCACACAGGAGAGGGTCGGCCAGGTTGGTGGTATTGGCGTCTGATGTGCCTCCGATGCTGATGAGGCGACCCAAAGGATCAATGGCTCCTGGAGAGGTGGGGGAAGAGGGTTGGGGGGGCGAGGGAGAGGTTGGTGGCATTGGCGTCTGATGTGCCTCCGATGCTGATGAGCCGACCGTATGGGTATGGCACCTGGAGGTGTTGGGGAGAAGAGGGGAAGACGACCAGCATTGACCAGCTTTGACCAGAAAAGACCAGTGTTCACCAACACAGACCAGCTTTCACATGCACTGACCAATCATTGACCAGCGTTGACCAGCATTGATCAACACATACCCGCAGAGCAGAAGACGTTGGATTTGACGTCCAGCGCCCTGAGCGACCCTGTTGCAAAGCTGTACTCCTCTGCATAAGCCGTCTGAAAGGGGGAAGGTGGTGGAGGGGGGAGGGAGACAGATTAGGATATGAGTGACAGACAGGTGTTTTGACGTCTAGAGCCCTGAGGGACCTCGTTTCATGGCTGTACTCCTCTGCATAAGCCGTCTGAAAGAGGAGAAGGGGAGAGGGGGGAGAGGGGGATGAAATGAGTGACAGACAGACAGGTGGCTTGACGTCCAGAGCCCTGAGCGACCTCGTTGCAAAGCTGTACTCCTCTGCATAAGCCGTCTGAAAGAGGAGGGGAAGGGGGTGAGGGGAAGAGGGCGGGACAAGTAGGGTGGCAAGGAGCAGATGGGGGAGAAGCAGAAGATCTTCGACTTGACGTCCAGAGCCCTGAGCGACCCCGTATCGAAGCTGTAATTCTCTGCATACGCAGTCTGAAAGAGGAGGAGGGGGGGGGGGGGAAGGGTGGGACGTGGGAGTGGGGTGGAAGAGCAGACAGCATTCGACTTGACCTCCAGAGCCCTGAGTGACCCCGTTTCAAAGCTGTTCTCCTCTGCATAAGCCGTTTAAAACAGAGGAAAGGGGTGGGAAGGGGTGGTGATCAGCGGGGAGTGCAGGGGCCAACGGAAATGTTAAAGATGGGGGAATAAAAGAAGACATAAGACCTCACGTTCAGAAATCCGAGCCACCTTGTGATGTGAGTTTTGAGGGGTCTGACTGATGCGATTTTGAGTCCCTTGACATTGTAAGGCACTGAGTGGAGCTAGTTAGTTCTGCCCTGCTCAAGAAACAACTCAGAGGGAAAACTGGTACGAGCAGGGCACTTACCCTTCCGTTTGGGAGCTTGGCATAGGTGTTGCTGACGTCCGTGCGGTCAATATAAAGGATCGTCTTATAGTGAGTCAGAGCAGTGTGAATGCCTGACACCTGAGAGGGTGAAGACAGGACAGAGCAGCAGAGAGCAACACATTAGTCAAGAGCTACATGTAGCAGAGACAAGCAGCTAATGGATCATCTTATAGTGAGTCAGAGCAGTGTGAATCCCTGACACCTGTGGGCGTTATGGGGGGGAGAGGGGGGTGCGGGAAGGTGATGACAGAAGAGTGGAAGAGCAAGAAACAAGGAGATCAACAGCATCTACAAACGATACAAGCTGGTTCTTTAGGAATTCTCAAGCTGGTTTTTTAGAATTCTCAAAAACCAGGTGGGATGCGGGGAAGGTGATGACAGAACGGTGGAGAACAAGGAGAAGGACAGAACGGAGCACAGAACAAGGAGATCAGCAGCAGCTACACACGCCCCCATCCTTCCCCATTCACGCCGGGACCCAACCTCACATCACAGTCACTCACATCTCCATTTGCCCACTCACACGTATCTTGCCCATCTTGATGAAATACTTGGGCTTGGGGAGCTGGGGAAAAGCAGCTGGGGGCGCAGAGGCAGCAGCAGATATTGTCCTACCTTATTCCTCCACCCTCCCTCTCCCCCGCCCCCTTACTCACGCGGATCTTGCCCATCTCGTAGAAGTACTTGGGTTTGGGCTGCTGGGGGGAAGCAGCTGGGGGCGCAGCAGGCGACGTTGCTGCTGCTGTGGTGGTGAGGAAACCAGCAACACTGGCAGCACCAGCAGAATCACCACCACCGCCAGGTGCTACCGCTGGAGTTGGTGCTACAGCCGAGATTGGCGCTACAGCTGTAGTCTTGTCTGCCGGCTGAGTCACAGACGTGTTGCTGCTGCTGCTGCCTGTTGCTGCCTGCTGCGGATCACCTTGATTCGACCGCATGCTGACGTGGCGGTCTGGTGACCCTCCAGGTGAACCTGGGCTCGCAGGTGGTCTTGATCCAGGAGGAGGTTTCTGGCCAGGTGTTAGTGGATGAGGTGATGTCTGACCAGGTGTACTAGGAGCAGGTGCTTTCTGACCAGGTGTTCTAGGAGCAGGTGCTTTCTGACCAGGTGTACTAGGAGCAGGTGCTTTCTGACCAGGTGTACTAGGAGAAGGTGCTTTCTGACCAGGTGTACTAGGAGCAAGTGCTTTCTGACCAGGTGTTCTAGGAGCAGGTGCTTTCTGACCAGGTGTACTAGGAGCAGGTGCTTTCTGACCAGGTGTACTAGGAGCAGGTGCTTTCTGACCAGGTGTGATCGGACCAGGTGGTTTCTGACCAGGAGTAATAGGAGCAGGTGGTATCTGTCCAGGTGGTTTCCGGCCAGGTGTTCTTAAAGCAGGTGGTTTCTTCTGACCAGGAGTCATTGGAGCAGGTGGTTTTGCTGATGACTTGTGTCCGCTTCCCACCCTCCTGTCTCTCTTACCCATGCTGACCTTACTCTTCCTCCCACCCCTGCTTCTCTCGCCCTTGCCCCTCTCCCTCCGTCCCTTGCCACACTCCCCCCTGCCTCTCTGTATCTTCTGCAGTGGCAGCAGTGGCAGAATTGATTCCAATGATGACGTGGCGCGTGCACGTTGGCCGGATCCACGTGACCTCTTTCTGATGCATGCCCATCCACGTGCCCTCTTCTTAATGGCCGGCCATCCACGTGGCCTCTTCCTACTCAGCCGTTGTTTCAACTTCCCTGCGACAGTGTGAAGATCTCCCTTGGTGTGATTGTGATGAATTACTTTTGAGTGATGAGCCCTACTGGGAGGATGAAGCCCTCTGATGTCAGAATCCCCCTTGGCATCATTCCCCCTTGTGCCATGAATCCCCTCGGTTTCTTCAAAATGTGAACTCTTGACAACCGCAGATGCTCTTGCAGGGAGAACCCACTCTTGGAGAGGTGGCACACTGGCTTCAGCGGCCTTCTCACGGGTTTCACCTCCTGCAGCCGCCGCTGCTGGTGCTGCCGCTGCTCCTGCTGCCGCTGCTGGTGCTGCCGCTGCTGCTGATGATACCACTGCAGGAGACCGTGCAGCAACGAGAAGCAGGAGAATGAGGAGTTCCAGGGCGCAATGTCGTTGCAGTCCGTTTTGACGGCCATTGTGCCGGCCTCGCACCTCGTGCCGGCCTCGCACCTCGTGCCGGCCTCGCACCTCGTGGCGTTGTTGCGAGATCTGCTGGACTTGCGGCATCATGATATGCACGCTGGTCGGCGACTGATTGATGATAGTATCACGATTTTGGCAACTGAGTCACATTTACGAAGCCTAAGTGCACATGTGACGGTGACGCTGGAGGGACGATGCTGGCTGTCAGGCTGTCCTGCTGCCAGGCTGACAGTTAGAATGTCAGCTTCCAGGAGAATCTTCAGGTGGTTGGCGGGAGAACAAGGCCCTGATACATAAGGCTCGCAAATAACGTGGTTGCTAGTCCTTTCCAGTCATCTAAATTTCGTCAGGAAGAATTATTTCATTGAGGAAATTACGACTAGGAGCCTATATGCAACGAGGGAGCTGCTGTGCTCCTTAAACACAGCCTCTTCCGTGTCTTTATTCCAAGCGCACCAACGGCGCGAATCCACCGACACGCGGATGGCACGGAACATGACATTACCGGCTGTGACAGTAAGGAATGACTGCATCGCACAGTCAATGTGATATTGTGCAACGCCAGATAGTTCACGTGAGGAGGTACCATCATGCCAGGTGAGGCGAAGGCAAAATTAGCGAAACGAAGGCGAAATCGGCGAAACGTAGACGATGTCGGCGAAGTGACTGCAAAGCCAGCAAGGCAAGGGAAAAGGATCCGAACGAGCGAAGAATCGGGCAAACAGGGCGACAGCAAGGAAAGGAGATAAATGTGAAACGAGCCGTCGGCGATAACAGAAACGGGCGTTAAGACGCTGGAGGGAGCGCAGCTAGGGGAAGGTAGAGCCTGGAAATCGAGCCGCTAATAGCTTCCAGCATAGCACAACTAGCTGGTGAAACTGACACCGCTTGGGTGTTGTGAGGCTCTATGGATGAACTCGAAAATCTGTCAGGCGGCTTCGGCAGAATTCAGGAGGCTAAACATACTCGACATGGCAATTATCTGTACCTTCAAAGTACATCTAAAAAACATAGTTGAAACTGGTGATTGGATAACATATGTGACATAACGAGAATAATAATTTCGATTAACTAAAACCACAATCATGGCTTGTAAATTTTGAGAAATTCGGATATATGTTTTTTTGGCCATCAGACTGTTTTTTTTCTGGATTGTTGTGGTTTCTGTTTATCATCCGTGTGTATTTCCTCTAACCTACACTATCTGACAAATCGCGTCGTTCAACGGAGTGACAAGGCCGAATTTCGGCCCCAGCCAGAAAGGAAACCAGCCAATAGAGGCTTCCGCCTGATCATTGGGCTCGCCAGCACAGCGGTGTGACGTGGCGTCCACCAGAGGGTGTGAGGGGAGTGGTTGGCTGGGATTGTGTGCGGCTGACTGCTTCGCTCACAGTTGTTCTGGACAATCAGGGGATTCAGCATGACAACTTCGAGGTTTCAAGTTTTGGGCTAACTTTGAAAGGGGTGGAGGAGGGTGGGGACGATTCTTGCAGCTGACTTCTGAAAATGTGCTGTGTTGACTGTTCTTGTAGCGAGCGTGTCACGCTACAGTCACACCAGCCGAGACTTCAAAACTATGGCTCCGTTATGTTAGTATTTCCTTTCGCCCAGCCTGTTAGTCCTGCTACGGCGTCCTTATCCTCTTCCTGACACCTGTTACGCCGAGCGTGCATGCGATGTCGTTTCAGACAAGGGACGTGTGTCCTTGAGGTGTCTGATACTCGTCAGCAGGGGGAGCAGACTGCTGTATGCGTGCACCCATCGACCTGATCAGGCACAGGTTTCCAGGAGCTCGCATCGCGCTCACTAGTATTTTTCGTTCGAAACTCACGCAGCATCCGCGGTCGCGGATGTTCGTCTGATCTCGACCGTCGGATCCAATCCGTCGATGCCACGACTTCCCGATCCCAGTCTTCTTGGCCTAGCCTTTTAGTTGCCAGTGAGTTCCCGTTCGCTGTTTGCCGCGATTTCGCAGCCACGTACCCATACCAGTTACCCATACTTCGATTTCGTGCAGTTCGTTGAGGAACCATTCTTCATAGTTGACACTGGT